TACTTAATTTGGGGACCAATTGGTGACAAATCGCTTGATTTCCAGTCTTTCGGCACTATTTGTGGCCAAATATTTCACACAAATGTCAATACAATATGTTTTTCAATACTGTGTCCAAAATAATGAGTAGTTATGAATGAAACAAACGGTGAAATAATTGTGTGATTGTATGGATCAGTGATTTGTAAACACAATTCATATGATATTCACTACAAAACCAAACCATTAATTGAGTGATCAATGAATGAATGATTCACTCATTCAGTCAATCAATGAATGAATGTTTCGATAATAATATTCAATATTTTTGTTTTTGCCGTCATTTATACACCAAATGCTAATTATAATCAACAAAATAGCACTCAATTCATCCATATTTATGTCATTTATTGCCCCCTTTCTGTCCCCTCAATGTGTTTATATGCGATAAACACTTTATTTTGTTCGCAACTCCTCTGTATATTGACGTACTTTATGGACACAATTGTCAGTATTTTGTGTCCGACATTGAGTTGACGTGCATTGAGTGCATTATTGACGTGTCTTATGAAGTGATAAACCAATGATTGAATGGTTTGTCAGTAATTTGTTTACAACTCTTGTGTTGATTACAACCGAAGACATCACCACTCGATTGGCACCCGATTTGACCACCGATTGAGTGCCGGCTTATGATGGGAACGGAGATGAGGGCAGCGCTCATCACTTTGGGAAGTGTTTTGTTGACCTCAACGGTCATCGGAAACGCTTACTTCCAGAAGAAGCAGTTTTATCCGTCAGTCGTTTACATCACTAAATCTAATCCATCGATGGCTGTAAGACATGTCACCAAACGAGTCGACGATAATTACTAATTGAATCCCTATTTATTGAATCCATAGATTATATACATTCAGGCGTTTGTTTTCGTGTTATTAATGGGAAAATTGATGCGAAAGATATTCTTCGGGCAATTGAGGACCGCAGAGATGGAGGTTTGCATCACTTGTTGTCCATCACTTGCTTCTCACCACTTAATCCTATCATTTGTCGTGTTTAGCATTTGATTGAGAAGTCGTGGTATGCGGTGACCGAGACGTGTCTGGCGTTCACTGTCTTCAGGGATGACTTGTCGCCCAAATTTGTGGCACTTTTTACGCTTCTGTTATTCTTGAAGTGTTTCCATTGGTTGGCCGAAGACAGAGTCGATTACATGGAAAGGAGTCCTAATATATCCCTATTGTTTCACATTCGAGTCATTTGTATGAATTGATGACCAATTGATTAATTGATTTGATTGTTAACTGATGTCCATATGTTTGCATGTCTTAGCGCTTCTGTTCCTATTGGGAAGTCTCGACTTCTGGTTCATTCATATGGCATACTATAGCACTTTGACTAAAGGGGCGTCCGTTCAGTTGGTCTTTGGTTTTGAGGTTTGCTATCAAAAAGTCATTATTAATTGAATGTCTAATCATTTTGGTCTCTATTCCCATGAATAGTACGCTATTCTGTTGGCCGTTGTGTTTAATATTTTGATGAAATATGTCCTTCACTTCGTTGACCTCCAGAACGAGAATCCATGGGAAGACAAAGCCGTCTATTTGTTATACACCGAACTATTGATGGGTTTTCTAAAAGTTATTTTGTATCTAACATTCATTACAATTATGATGAAAATCCATACATTCCCTCTGTTCGCTATCCGTCCCATGTATTTAAGTATGAGGTATGCCTTCACTCACTTCAATGGGTTTTTATTGATTTCAGGAATTTATTGTTTATATTTTTAATTCCTTTTCAGAGCCTTTAAGAAAGCGTTGAATGATGTGATTATGTCTCGAAGAGCCATAAGAAATATGAACACATTGTATGTATTTTTTTGCTCAACTTTTTATTCGTTGAAATTCTAATGAATTTTGTTTCTGAAACAAAATATAGATATCCAGACGCGACACCAGAAGAGCTCCAGACTGTAGACAATGTTTGCATTATATGCAGAGAAGAGATGACAGGCAATGGAAGCGCCAAAAGACTTCCGTGTAATCATATATTCCACGTCTCGTGTCTGCGCTCTTGGTTTCAAAGACAACAGACGTGTCCGACCTGTCGGATGGATGTGCTTAGAGTGGCCCCCAATGCCGGCGCTGATAATGCCAGAGCTCAACAACAGCCACAACAGGCCAGAGCTCAACAGGCGATGCCACAAATTCCGCCTCAGTTTTTCATACCCGCCAATTGGCAACCCTTTGGTGCCGTTCCTCCGCAACCACTCAATCAAGTCAATCAAAATATTAATAACAATAATAACAACATTAATAACAATAACTTAAACAATAATAACATTAACACCAATAACAACATTAATGCCAACATTGGGGCCGCGAATGCTGGCCCGCAGGCAAACAGAGCTCCAACGGCTCCGATCCCACCGTTTATACCTTTTCCATCGTTTATGCCATTCATGAGCGCACCTCCGATGCCGACCCCTCCGCCAGATTTAAGCCGATTATCTCTGGAAGAGTTGCGAGCGCTCGAAGGGAACGAACGGCAGAACATTGAGGCGCGGATCAGATGTTTAAGGAATGTGCAGACATTAGTGGAAGCGGCTCTCCTTCAACTGCAACAGTACAACACTGTCGCCAACCGAATGACTGCTTCGCAATCGGCTGCGTCCGACACGCCGTCCACTTCGGGTGCGGGCGCTGGGAGTGCATCGACGTCCACAACGAGTCCCAGTTTTGGTGATACTCTTAGAGTTTCTAACGATCCTCAAGAAATGTTAAGACAGAGACGATTACAGCGCTTCTCACAGACGCAGCCGCCGGTCATTGACACGAACACCGGTTCCGTCACTGAACAGACGCCTCAGCCCTCAAACTCATCCAACACTTCAAACCAATCGCCGGATAATAATGAGTCAAATAACACGACAAGAACTTGAGATGAATGTGAAATGGATTTAGAAACTAATATTTTTTAATGTTATCACTAAATGAATTCTATTTGAATTAAAACCTATTTAAATAAATCTTCTGTAAAAATAATTATTAAAATTAAATTATTATTAAAATAATGACAATTAAAAGCACTGAGTATTTCATTATTAGTAACTATTTT